TTCGTCAATCTGCCCATAAGAGGACCCCAATTTCTCGGTCGCTATGGCGACAACGGGAAATTTAGCCAATTCCCTACCATCTTCGGCCAGACCGACTGAGATTGCTGCCAGCTTCGTGTGGACCAAGAGGGTACAGTTTCGAGCCAAAGTTGTTGGGCTTCTTGTGCATCGCCGGTTGCCTGGATGAAAAAAGCCCTGGTTACCTTGATCTTGTACCGTCGGAACACGGCCAGAGGCCAGTTTCGTTTCTGCCATGGTTGTGCTTAACGCATATCCATTCTGTATCTGCTTTCAACACTCTCCAAAGCTGCATTATACCAATCCAAGAGTAGAGGTCAAAAGCAACTTGTCACGCCTTGGTACCATCAGAAGGTGGCGAAGGTGATTGCATCAAAATCAGGCATTCGTGAATTTGCACAAGGCAGCTCAAAAATAAATTTTATTTTTCGAAATTCATACATTTCTATCGACTTTACGAAGTATGCTGTAAACAACACATTAATAATATGTTACTTATTACAGTTTATTAGCTGGTTGCTTCGTTAATAATCGCACCATGAGATGACATGACGAGAAACCGAAAATTCGGTTAAAAGAATAAATAATTTGTCCTTTTAAATGCAACATTATCTTCTTTTGCACCCCGGATTATAGATTGTCCCAAATATTAGGTAGAATTTAAGCCAAAATCCGGAGGGTTGCGACGAATGTCACCCAACGACCCTTTATTCACATACATTCGAACCAGCTCAACCTGGCATCCGTCAATGGATCCCTGAAGTTTGGACTCTACTCTTCGAGTCGCTATTTCACAATTAAGCGTATTTAAAGAAATACTTTGCATATTTTACCATCAAATTAGTCAGTGATATATACTATGCAATATGTGTACTGTGTATATTGTGTAAGGTTTCGACAAAAAGAATTGCATTTTTTCCCTTTTTCACAAATAGCTCCAACTGAAAAACCGGCAAAAAATGATCAAATTCATTCAAAAGTGACTGACATTTAGCAACGTCCTTTACTGCCCTCCTGCACACACTCTCATTTCTTCATTCTGTTCGCCGTCTGTGCGACGAAATGGACACTGGTCACGGGAAAAAAGCAGTATTCCCTTCAATAAAGCTGGCAACGCAAAAGTACATGAGGCTGAAATGTGGTTTAGGGCCTAAACTTGGCATATTTACCACAATTTAGTCTAAATGGGTAATGGAAACGGAGAGGATTCTTGCGAATCGACGGTCCCATATCAACTATCAAAGCTGAGTTGTAGATTTGCAGTGAGATGAAGCCAGACAAACGAGGGTTGAGCACAACTTTGGCATTGTTTCAGGATCAGACTGGGGCAACTGTGAGAGATTATTGGCAGTTGCGCAGCCAAAATCTCACCTTTTTGGTGTCAAGATTGGTTTGGAAAGATGTAGGGCAAACCGGCGGAAATGTATGCCCATTATGTGTGGCGGAAAACTGCTTTTCGCAGAAGCATTGCCAATAGACACTGTCTCCAGTTGTCGTTAAAATCTCACATTTCACTTTGGGCCATCATCGAGGCGAGAAAGATTGAGGTTGGAGGAGGTCTTGGCGACTTTCCTACAGAATGCTCATCCTTCACACATGCCAGATGGTGCCGGGTGTGAAAAGAGCCGAAACAATGTGAGTGAAAAAAGACGAAAATCGCATTTATGCAAGCGATACCAACCGCAGAGCGGACAGATGGCTTCTAGCCCAACCTTTGGCCGACAATGAGGTGAAAAAAAAGAATATATGAAATGTATCTCTTTTTTAAAGTGTTGAAGGACTGATAGTTGCATTTTCCCACAATCATGTGAGTAGATCTTACATTTCCATTCAATTCCCATTCAATTTCACACAGCTTTGTTTGCCAAAATGTATTCACCATCTTATCAGCATCCACAGTGGCGTTAGACACTACGCCACATCGCCACTAGTGCTCTTGCGAAACAGGGACTGTATGAATTTCAACCTGGGTGGGATTGGGGATATGGCATCGGCAATCGACAACACTACTTATTTTTCGTTTATAAGTAGGCTTGCAAGCATGAATGTATATCATCTATTCGCAAAAATGAGTAATTTTGTCGATTGCTGTCACAAATTTCAACACAGAATGTGATGTGAAATTCACATATTCCCTGTGACCAAATGACGCCAAACAATCACGGTTCGAGTCCCGCCGGAGGCGTTGACAATGTCCTAAACTGCAGTCCGCCTTTGGGCAAAGCAAGATTGTGTAAAATTCAATTTATCACCTTAAAGTAAAATAGAGTGAATACATTTCATACTGGCAGTCTCGAAAGCCTAATTATCAAACGAGAAATGGGCTGAGCATATTTTTTGCAGATGAAAGAAATGCCAGGACTGGTGCAGCGAGTAAATTAGGCGAAATAAAAGGGAAATTGGGAGAAATTACCTTTTGGCCAATTGACAAATTAATGACTAGCTTCAGTCTATTTGCAACAGGAAGACAAAGCACACATGTAAATGCACATACATTTTCATATACGGAGACAAATTTCTTTTTTCACATACAAACGAATTTCACAGGTACAGAGGCCATCATGTAGACGATTCAGGTCATGTTTGGGTTGCCTCCTGTCGATCTCTTGCGCGTTTGTCAGATATCGCCTCAACACATGCACACCATGAATGCGCCTACACACCTACAAGCCTACACGACTGGTACACACGTTCCAGTTAATTGGGACACATCGGGAATATGGCAGTTTTTGTCCAATTAATCGGCTGTCCCAACTATGCACGACTTCATGTAAAGCGTTGAAAGGGGATAGAGCAAACACTAATTGTCTTTAGAAATAAATTAGAGAAAAATATTTAATATAATAGTCAATGGTTTTGGATACATTTGTCAAATAGCCCCTTCAGTGCTCGCCAGATTGACGCCAACTGACCGAAATGAGAAAAGATCTCCGGTCCAAATCAGCGACTGTCTTGATTGCCTTATTGCATGAAGAAGCGTCGTAATGCAGCAATAAATTTCCTGTCATTCTGGTCAGTAATTCGTCGACTCTATCACTTTCCTCGTAGTTTCATGTCGCATGATGTATTGCCAGCCAATTTTCAATAAAGACGTCCTTCTTCATCCATCTTCGTTGTCATGGTAGCGACGCCTGAAAAGTCTTTGTAGATGCTGACATGGTGCAGTTACGAAGTGACGGCATTTTGTTCGGCTGGAACGCTAAAAACCACCGTTTTTAATGGTCATAATGCATATTTATCGCCAAATATTGGCTGTCAAAATGGATGTCGGTAAATTTGGCTTAATTGTAGCATTTAATGGATGCAATGCGTCCACATTTTTACGATTTCCACATCCATTGACTGCCCAAGAGTGCGCTGCTGACAGGTTGAAATTCCAGATGGATGTTCTGCAGGCATTGAAAAATTGGGATCTATGCTACAACAACTTTTGGCAAAACAAGGCTCTGTGAAATGCAATGGAAATGTCAGCTAAATTCGCATCATTGTGGGAAAATTGTATCGCCAGTCCTTCATCACTTTAACCAAAATAACGTGAATACATCTCATATTACTGATTTAATGAAATACGCAAAATATGATACAGTTGCCGAGAAGTAGAAGAACATTCCTGATCTTCGTTGTATGTACAGGTCCCAAATTGAACACTGTCCACTCTCAACCCCTCAATGTAGTGGGGCTTAACATTTTTCCCATTAACCAACAGCGTCTTGTCATCAATTTCTGGCATGTCTCAACAATAATGCAGCTCAGCTGGTCGGTTGTCATGGCATGGTCAACATGAAGCAACCGCGAGAGTAAATAAATGACAAAGTGCTCTCATGTATCGCTTCTGGGCGTTTTGTTGGCGTAAAAAGATGTTTTTTCGTATGTAAGTAGATTAAAAAGATGAGCCTCAGTGTCGGTTCGATGGAAGTTGGAGCTCCAAGAAAATGTCGACTTGGGTCGTATTTGATAAAATAAGCCACACAAAAGGGCTGTTTATGTAGAAGGTTTTCTTTATTTGGTTAGGTTTATTTATTTATTTCAATGTATTATTTGATTGTTTCAAAATCAAGATTTAAGTTTTGTTTTAATAATGTTAAGAAATTGTAGTTTTTTTTGTTATTAATACCACTTTTGTCAGGCTATCGTAATATGTAAAAGGTTTATTAATATAATAAAGTTATTATATTGCTGTACTTGGTATTTATTTATTTATTTGTTTATTTATTTATTTATTTATTTTTATTTATCTTTTTATATATTTTTATTTATTTATTATCTATTTATTTATTTGTTTACTTATTTATTTATTTATTTATTTATTTATTTATTTATATTTATATTTCTAAGAATGGTCCAGTGCTCAAATGAAATCTATCATCTGACGAAAGAAATCTTGACCAGTTTTTACCAGCAAAATGTCGCCTATACAAATCTCTTGAGCGCACCCTTTCACGTGAACTGAAAGGGAATTCAATAATTATCGAAAGGATTGTTACTTCATTCCGGGTTTTTACTGGGTTTGTTGGCCCGTCGAAAAGCATGATAAGTATTGCGAATAATTCTACGTGTCTATTTATTATCTTTTTTTCTTAATGTTAATATTGATGCTAATATTGTAGATATACTATATATACATATAATTTCTATTTATTTAGATTTACAATATTTATATATTATCACAAACGCGCGAATGCATTTCTGGAAATGTCAGCTCTCCTCACATTATTGTGGGAAAATTGTACCACCAGTCCTTCATCACCTTAACCAAAATGACGTAAATACATCTCATATTACTGATTTACTGAAATACGAAAAATATGATAAAATTGCCGAAAAGTAGAACTTTCCTGATCTTCGTTGTATGTACACGTCGCAACTTGAGCACTGCGCCCACTCTTAACCGCTCAAGGCAGTGTGGCTTAACATTATTCCCATTAACCAACAGCTTCTTGCCATCAATTTCTGGCATGTCTCAAAAATATTGCACAATTACGCGATCCATTGTTGCGTGCTTGTAGAAAAGCTAAAACAGACCTTGAAGTTGATGTTATGCCTAGATTTATGTCGAGACAAGCGAAAGTTTTATTTGCTCAAAATCTTGATGATAATACACTTTTATGGCTAATTTCTTGGCCATAATTGTTGTGTCATCGGACCACTGACACACACAACTCGTGAAGTTACAACCAAGAATTGACGACCGATGGCCTCATCGACGTCTCGATCCCTGCCTAAATTATTTCTAACTC